TATCACACATCCAGGAGAGTGGGCTGATATCCACCTACTTCCCTGTTGCCACATCCCAGATCACTTTTACTTTATGCTTTTCTAAAATTAAAATAAAACAAACACCAACAACCACAAAATGCACCTGTTCCTTTGTAGCTCTTGCTAAAATACACTCCCTATCACATCACTTCATCATTCTGATCCAAAATTTACCAGCCTACATCTCACCCACTGTCTTCCTTTCCTACAGCTACTGTAGAGCACTGCTCCTCAATTTTTATGTACATTTTAATCACCTGTGAAATTAGTAAGGACATCCAGAGATTCTGCATTTCTTATAAAATGCATGAGAAGCTGAGGACCACTTTGAATAGCAAAGCACTAGAAGAGCTTCTTTTGCTATTACCTAATCTGCTATCGTCTTAATCTCCTATTTATGCTTTGGCACTCATTCCCGCCTGCTTTAAAATCTTTAATACCTATTATTTCTTCTCTGCTCTTCTTTCTCACACTTGTCAATCTCTCTCTCCCTCTTTCTCTCTCTCAACTGCTGAAGTATAATCCATTGAAAAATCAAACCAGGATGGCCAGTTAGCTCAGTTGGTTAGAGTATGGTGCTGATAATAACAAGGTCCAGGATTTTATCCCTGTACCAGCCAGCTGCCAAAAAAAATAAATAAATAAAAATAAATAAAATATCACACCAAAAAACCCTCATTTAGTCCTTTACTCCTCCTACCTACCATATGATGTCTGTCCCATTAACAGCCAAACTTTTTAAAGAAACTGTCTGCAGGCAGATGCCATTTCTTCATCTCCAACTCAATACTGCACCTACTTCAATGTGACTTTCAGGCCCAGCACCCCAACAACACAGCATTCACTAAAGGCATGAATGACCCCATGTTGAGAAGCCAAAAATGACATTTTCGGTTCTCACCTTAGGTGAACCTCTCATCAGCATTCAACATTGTTAACCACTCCCAACAAATCTGCACATTGTGTTCCATGATACAATAGTCCTTTTATTTTCCTGTTACCATTCTAGGAACACTTTTTCCAGTGTGTTTTGCAGGACCATTACCTTCTATCCAGCCATTAGATATGGAGTTCTAATATGGAGCTCTTCAGTGGTTTAGGGCTCAGACCGTCATTCTTTTTGTGTATATATCCATGCTATCCTCTTTGACTTTAATTGTGAATGACTTCTGAATTTATGTCTCCTCTTCTTTGAGCTGGCCTACTCAACATCTTCTCTCAGAAGTCTCAAAACTACCTCAAACATAAGAGTTAAATTAATAATTCATACCTCCACCACTGTATGCCATTATCACGCATCCAGATATGCAGTTTGGAAAAACTATTGCCACATTCTTGACACATCCTTTTCCCTTGCTGCCAAATATCCATTCTTCCAACATCTCCCCAAACCTATCAAATCTATTAAGTTTTCTTCATCTCCACCATCACCTTCACTGTACTATCAACAATTGTCATCTCTTGGCTAGGCTACTGCAATAGTTTCCTAAGGAGACCTACCTCCATCCACTTCACTTTGCCTCTCCCTTTTTAATCTGTTCTACACCCGGCAGATATGACCATTTTGTTGAAACACAAATTTGATTATCCCCCCTTCAGTCTACTCATATTGATCCCTCCTACTTGCCAGTGTCCTTCCCACCAAAGAGACATTGCCTACACAGAATGTTCTCCTCTTCCTCTTCTCCCAGGTAAACCTATTCATCCTTCAGACCTCAACTCAATCATAATTTTCTTGGGAAAACCTTTTTTTGCCTCAATAACTATGTTAAATTTACCTACTAGAAGGTCATACAGAATCACATACTTCTCCATTACAATATTTATGACATTACTTATGTACTAATCTCCCCAAGGACATAGCATATTTCTGGTTTTAACTGCCATTGTCTCCCAGGTACTAACACAATTCCTGGCACATAGGAGGTATTCCCACAGTATCTCTTGAATGAATATATGGAAGGGGTAATGATATTGTAATCAGCTAAGGAATCCTGAATGATACGGCATTTGAGCTGGGCACTATCTCTCTCATTGGAGAATAGGTAGAGGAAGATGAATCAGGGATATTGCAAAGAATAAAGTTCAATATTATTTGCTGCCAGATTTATACATAGTGATCAAGGAGTTTAAGATCATTCCTAGCATGATCCTCAGAATGAATCTGGAAAATGGTAGAGCCAATGACAGGGCAAGGTTTCAGCTAAAGGAAATGATGAGTTCAATTTTCTTGATGCAGTACATTTTAGGTGACAACCTCACCTGGTTGAAATGGTCTGAAGGCAGTTAAAATGTAGGAACAGATATGGTGTGGGATGTCATTTAAGCATCTTCATCTTAAGCTGGGTGCCCTCTGCTCACCACAAGAAATCATACTCCTCTCTGTATTCACCATCTAGGATAATAGTACAGAAAGAGTCAGAAATCTTGGAGCCATTCTTGATTGCTCTCCCTCACCCACTATTTCCTTATCCTTTTCTATCATCATCTACATTTCCTCTCTTCTCTCATCCCCAGTGCCATTTTCCCGGACTTTCACCTGGACTATTTCTTCAACTTCCTACCTACTCTCGTTGCATCCAGTCTTGCTCTCCTGTAATCCAGTTTGCACGTTCCTCCCAGAGTAACTTTCCCAAGACACCAGAATGTCACTTTCCTGCTAAATATCTTTAAAGGACTTCCATCGCCTAGGGAATAAAATCTAGACTCTTCATCAAGGTTTTCTGATTTGTTTCTAGAATTTCTGAACTTCACCTCTGTTTTTTCTCTCTAACCCTACCAAACTACTTATTCCAGCTCCTCTCTCCGATTATACTAAACTATTTATTATCCCCAAATACCTTATACCCTAAACTCTCTCCTTCCTTACTTCCTTCTAATCTTACTGAAATTTGACCTGGGAAAAGACATTGTATTGTCTTGTGTAGAGACAAATTTAAAAATAAACAAACAGAAAACGGCCAAGGTAAACCTCCTGCCTTCAAGTTTCAACTCAAACGTGGCCCTCTGAAGCCTTCCCCTCCGGGAAAATTTACAGTCCCATTGGGTGTCTCCCAGCTCACAGTAATTCTTACCCAAAAGTTAGCTGACTCACTATTTCTCAATAAGTGAAGTTAAGCTCACTATTTATCATAGGCTGATACAGTCCAGCTACAAAGACTATGCCCACGCGTAACCTGTTGCCACATCGCTTCCTCCTCGGGAAATAGATCTACATAAGAACCTTCCCCGGGACCTCACGAAGATGGCTCCCGGAGGGCGTCGTCACGTCCTGCGTCATCACGTGCCAGATGAGGGTGGGGCCCTCAAGAGAGAAGGGATGGAGGCGGGGCCAAGTAGGATGGGGCGGGACTACGCGGGATCAGGGCGGGCCTGGGCGGAGCCAGTGAGGGGTCGGGGGCGCTTCTGCTATTCAGCCGGTGCGGCGGGAGTCAGCGTTGGGGGAGTCCACTCGACGCTCGGTCCGGAGAGCTTGCCAGGGACAGCCGGCTCAGACCAGGGCAGCCGTATAGCCGAACGGAAGCCGGTGGCAGCCGGGACTGGCTGCTGGCGCCTGAACTCCGCGGGCGGGAAGCACCCAGGATCAGGGAAACCCCGGGAGCAGCGCGGCGGCGCCTCCCTCACCCCAGGGGCCGCGGCGACGGTCACGGGGCACGGCGCCACCGTGCACGACCCAGGCCAGGATTCTAAACAGACGGACCAGGCTCCTCCTCTGCCCGGGCCGCCTCACCTGCGGGCAGCGCCGCGCCGCCTCCGCCGGTGTAGACGGCACCTGCACCGCCTCGCTCGCGGGTCTCCGCCCCTCGTCCTCCCGGCGCCAGGCCCGGGCGGCTCACCTGGACCGGCGCGGGTGCGGGACCCGAGGGGCTG